TTTAGAGAAAAAAGATACTCGATAGATAGAATACAATACAATACATCCTGATTTATATAGCGCTTTCACAACATAGAAAGATAGATACTCTATTCAGCTCCAAGGGGGAAAAAAATACACCCACACGGACATTTTGATCCATATTTGTTTCAATAATTTCATTGTGTCAATGTTGTGTTGTTTTCATTAAAATATGCCAGTACAAATCAGTACATTTTACATTTTGGTACGTTTGGATCCCAGGTAGAGACCAAATATGTTGCTTGACATTTGTTTCACAGCCACATTGTGAACCAGCAGCCAGCCAGAACGACCCTACTCATTCAAAGCTGAATGAAGGTCCTCAAAGGTGTAAATTACTTTTTTGTCAGCTAGCTCCACATTGTGCAAATTAAGATAAGAATTGTCCTCTCCTGGGTGTTATACTTGACACAGCCTCAAGCTTTTATGGGAAGTCACAGATGACAGATTTTATAGCTCCGGAGATAAAGGAGGGGAAAATGCTTACAGCAAATGGGCATGCAGCAAATGATACAGGGCCCTTCCTTTTATGACAAAAATTGAATTGCCAGCCTTGCTCGAATCCAGTTGTGTACATACAGGCCATACTGTATTCTAATGAAAATAAATGGCATCTTCCAACGAAGAACTTGAGTTCAGTCTTCATCAAAGTATTCTTATCTTGTAGCAAATCCAAGTACGGTAAGAAAGAAAACCCATTCTGAAGAATGGTTTGCTCACTGTAATTAAAGTAAAGATGTGGATTTTATCAATTTGGACTGAATATACAATGTAGACACCAAATAATGCCTTTAAATCAGATTTTCCCTTTGTTGTCCTTTCTCAGATGGTAAGCATGCGTCGGCTGCCTGGTCCAAAGAACCCGGCGGAGATGACGTATTATGCACAAATGAATGGCGCGCCCATCACTGGAACCACAGCGGCCAAGACGCTAAGCAGTCTGGACTCCCAGACCATGGCGCTGACTCTGGGTTTCTTTGTGCAAGTGCCAGCTGAACGTAAGCTCTGATTTCAGTCATTCTTGTGAACGGGTTTAGCAGGGTTACTTGAAAAATGTATTCCAACCCAGTTAAGTCAAGTCATCCGTCCATCCATCCATCCATTTTCTGATCCACTTATCCTCACTAGGGCTGCAGGTGTGCTGGAGCTTATCCCAGCTGGCTTTGGGCAGCAGGCGGGGTATACCCTGAACTGGTTGCCAGCCAATCATAAGGCACACATAGACACATCGGCCTCACAGTGCAGAGGTGCAGGGTTCGGTGCCGGTTCCGGCCCTCCTTTGCGGAATTTGCATGTTCTCCCCGTGCCTGCGTGGGTTTTCTCCGGGTACTCCGGTTTTCCTCCCACATTCCAAAAACATGCATGGCAGTTTAATGAAACACTCTAAATTGTGCCCAGGAGTGAGTGTGAATGCGGATGGTTGTTCCTCTACGTGTGCCCTGTGATTGGCTGGCAACCAATTCAGGGTGTAACCCGCCTATTTCACGAAGACAGCTTGGATAGGCTCCAACATACCTCGCGACCCTCTTAAGGATAAGTGGATCAGAAAATGGATGCATGGATGGATAATAATCAATGAATATATTTCTGCAATGAGTCAGAGGATTTGGCGCATGCTGTTGTAAGAATTATAAATGAAATACAATGACATCCACCTCAAATGTCCGCAAGAAAGTACATCATCTATCTGCCTGCACAAATTCAACAAAATCATGTTTCACTCTCTGTGCCAATACTTCAAGGCAGGACAGCTCATCTAATTTGGGGGCCCTCAGCAAAATAATGCCAAGGGGCCCATCTTTTTGGTGCACTATTTATTTAGTCACAGTACACTGTGCTTTCACACAGATTTCACATCTTCGTCAGATTTTGCTGCACTGCAGAAGATAGTCGAGTTACGATTTGCATTTCTTTATTTTTTTTTTAATTTTACGTTTGTAATCAAGCATCAAAACTCACAAATAATAATTTGCTTTAAAGTCAAATAAGAAAAACTAAGTAATATACAATATGTATTTCAGTGTCACACTGTATTGTGTAGTCAGAATAACCGGTACAGTGGTTCTTAACCTGGGTTCGATCTAACCCTCGGGGTTTGGTGAATCGGTCTCAGGGGTTCGACGGAGCCTCTGCCATGGAGGTTAAGACACACGCGACTCAACATGTCAATTAGTTATGACACGGCCGCTTGGCCATCACTAGCTACAGATGATCACATTACATTGCTTGTCCAATCAGTGCTGTGGTAAATTTAGTTGGGTCAGTAGTCACCGTGTGACTGTCGTGATAGTACGTCAATTAAAAAAAATATGGCCATTTTTATGTTTAGACTAATTAGCAAGTCAACAGGATGGTAACAGTTTGAGACGGCGATCCAAACTGGCCCGAGCGGCCACACTGCCACGCGCTGCCTGGGGCCCTTTAGTTGCCAGGGGACCCTAAGCAGCTGCTTAGTCTGCTTATAGTCTGGGCTGGCCCTGCTTAAACGTGGCCCCAGCAGCTTGAGTCGACTAGGCCAACAAATGCGCTGGCACAGGTCAAAGAAAACGCCCTCATTAGGCCAGATGAACCAACTTCCCAAACAAGTGCATCACGGCTTGCAGCTTGGTGTGAACAGATTTATTTGGTATTTTTGTGTCTAGTGCTATACCTTTCTTTTTTTCTCCAATTACATTCCAGTCCAATGTATTATAGTGTCGTGAGCAAGTCTTGCATCGAAACCTCTTCCACAATTAAGCATTGTATCCAACACAGTGCCCATGTCAATCAGGTCAGCGTCATGCAAGACATGGTGGCATTCTGTAAATGCAAGTAACTCTTTCTGTATTGTTCCGACAAGTTACTGTACGTAATTAAATGAAATTATAGGTATGGTGCCTCAGGGGGGGTCGCCATCCATAACTTCAATAAGAACTATATTGTCTATCACACAATGTGACAAGACAATTAAAGCACCCGCTCCCTCCATCCTTTGAGATGAAGTCAAACACTGCAGCTCTGCAGAAATCCATAAGTTCTGCCCAAATGTAGATGCACTCCAATGACTCATGACTTAAACCTGACAGGAGTGACGGTTTACGGGACGCGGAGTCGAAAACACAGCAGATAGATGCTGTGTTTGGAGCATACTGTACATAAATATGATATGAACACAAACAGATGGAGGGTGGTGGGGGGGATCTCAGTGCATCATCTGTCCTTTAGTCTTGGCTTTGATAAGCATAACTCAGAAAAGATCAAGGACAAACCACATTCTGTCTTCAATGTACAGAGTGTTAGGTTGAAGCAGCACACCCCTAATTGAATCTGAAAGCTGTTTTAAAAGCAAATGAGCCTGATAGCGGAACAAATATTTACTGTATTAGTGGAGATTCTGCGAAGCATGATAAAACACAATGTTCTAGTCAGATGATAAAGCACAGGGAGATCTTTTTGTTTTTGTTTGGAGTGACTATGTTGTTTCACCATTTACAGAATGACTTCTTTTTTTTTTAGATTTTCTCGGTTACTGCAATGAAACTATTTCATGGAAGACAAACACATAGCAGCTAAAACCAACAAAATTCTGTATCCTTCAAAGTGGGAGTAGAGGCAAAATATTTTATAATAAACATTTTTAAGGTGATGTTAAAAGTTCACAATACCGACTTCAACTGTGTCGTTATTAAATTGAAAGTAGACAAATGAATGGATTTTTTTTCTATGCTGTCTCATTATAAACAACAAGAAGAGTAATGCAGTGTGCAACATGTGCTGTATGTATTGTTATTACTGTATTATTATTTTTTGGAAGGAACGTTCTAAAGTGTTTGTTAGTATCCACTTTTGAGGCACTTCTCATCTGAAAATTTTACCAGCTAACTGTCTTGTTTGGCTCATTTGCATTTTAACAGAGTCAATCTCGGCAGTTATTCAAATCGAAATGCTTTTGGTTTGTGTTTAGGGGAAATTGTGTTGTTCATGTCTGCTGAATGTTGTTCATATTGAAGCATCTGAAGAGCCCTTCATGTTCCCTCGCACCTATTTTCTTCCACTCACTTCCCGAGAATCTATAATTAACCAACTGGAGCCTTCCCAACAATCTGCCCTTCTCTTCTGGAGGAATGTCATGGACCTCATTCACACTCGCTTCACACAGTCCTGAAAAGCATCTGTATTCAGCCATTTTGATGTCCTGCATAACACATACTCACAGCACATAACAGCAGTTTTATACTTTGCCCAAGTATGACCAGCTTTACTTTTCATGCACTATTTTAAGTGAACTACTAATACTCGTTTCAAGAACATAGAAAGACTAATTTACACATCTAAATTATGACACTGGGCTAGAGGCGCACAAAGCTTTGGGCCATTTACATTTTCCAATTAATCTGATGTGCATGAATTTGGATTGTGATACATACCTGGAGCCATTCTAAGAAAACACGGCAAACTTGTCATATCTGAGCCGAGATTCAAACTCAGAACCCCTTGGCTGTGTCCAAATGCAGAAATCTTATTGGGTTATTTCATAGAGCAAACAGTAGATGCGCAGCCACAGATACAGTCAAACCTCGGTTTTCAAACGTCTCGGTTCTCGTACAAGTCGGTTTTCGAACAAAAATTTCGAGTTTTTTATGCCTCGGATGACGAACAAATTTTGGTTCTCGAACTAACTGAGCGCACTTAAATGCGTCGCTTCACTCCTCTCGGCTTCGCTTCCTCGTGTAGCGTCCATTGTGAGCAGACGTTTTTGTATTGTTCAATAACGATTTTTTTAAAAAAGCAGACATGTTTTGTGAAACACTTCCTCGTGTAGCGTCCAATGTGAGCAGACGAGTTTGTATTGTTCAATAAGGATTTTTTTTTAAAAAAGCAGACGTGTTTGGTGAGACGATTCTGTAAGGGGGAGTTTTTTTTAAAAAGCAGACGTGTTTGGTGAGAACTACGTAATATCAGACTGTTATTTTTGCATCGTGTATCAGCCCCTAATCATGGCACCAAAGAAAGCAAGTGGAAGTGGTAAACCTGGTGAAGAAAAGAGAAAAATAGTGCGCAAAACTATAGAATTTAAGAAAGATTTGATTGCGAAATATGAGTCATGTGCGTGTGAAGTGGAAGTGGTAAACCTGTTGAAGAAAAGAGAAAAATAGTGCGCAAAACTATAGAATTTAAGAAAGATTTGATCGCGAAATATAAGTCAGGTGTGCGTGTGTCTGTGTTGGCTAAGGAGTTCGGGATGCCGAAATGCCCCGCCTACTGCCCTATGACAGCTGGGATAGGCGCACGCCCCATGACAGATAGAGAGAGAGATGTTCCTTCAATTTTTATGTTACTATGTTAATGTTAAAATTGGTGAAAATAAAACATATTACAGTTTGTTCGTACAGTATTTTACATATTACCTGCTCTCTTATTACATGTGTACAGTTTATGGTGTGAAATTGTAAAAAAAAAAAAAAAGTGGTTTAAAAAAAGTTGTTTTCTTGACTTGGAACGGATTAAAAACTTTTACATTGATTCCAATGGGAAACATGGTTTCAGTTTTCGAAAAATTCGGTTTTCGAACAGTCTTCTGGAACGGATTATGTACGAAAACCGAGGTTTAACTGTAGTTCACTTTGCACTTTGATAAAGCAAGCATAATGCGAGGGGTCCGAGCTCTTCTTCATCACCTCTTGAAAAAGAGATTGGTGGTGCTTGGTCCAGTTTCAAATGCTAATGATGGCGTGGCTTCTAATTTGTGTGCAGCTGTGGTGAAGATGCCGCCGAGCAACTTGTGGATCATGGCTATCCTCACACCGCTGTTCTTGCTGATGGTGGTCATCGGCATGGTGGTCTTCATTCTTTGTAAGAGGAACAGGGTCATCTTCAAAGCTGGTGCCTTCAGGACCTTCAAAAGCCGCTCCAAGGTAAGTCTGCCTCATTTTTATATGCCTGCTGTGATTTCCAAATCCCTCCCTGTTTTTTTTCTAAAAATTATGGAGTCTCTCTGGGGGTGGTTGATCACGTTCATGATCTTTTATCATCACCGCTACAACATGCTCCAGTACACAATTCATCAAAATTGCATAACCCGGTTGTGTGACACATCACACGAGAAGTGATTGTGTTAAGTTGTCCCTTCAGGACAGGAAAATTGAATCCCATCTGTGTGGGTCTTGGCTCATTTATTTTTCTCACTGCCCAATAGCCCTTGGTCAGTGCTAATCATGCATGTTGCAAAGACTAATGAGCGGAGAGGAGAAGCGCAAGGATCACTGCACTGCAAGGGAACCTTTAGGTAGTGTTGGACCTTTAAAATTATAGCATTCAACGATGTTCATTCGAGGTTAAATACAAATCCATTATTTCAAATGCGCGGTGTGGATTATATAGGTTTTAATGACTGGTTTGACTTTGGTATACTGTTTGTTTTCTACGTGCAGTTCAATGCACGGCTGTCTAGGCCATTTACCACTTATGGTGATCCTGACACAATAGTGACACTTCCACAAACGTGTAACATTTACATCACATTAACAAAGCTCCTTTGATAGCCACACGTGCACAAATGGATGGATGGGCTGATGGAAGGATGAACAGATGGCTAGATACTTTATTAATCAAGGAACAGGAATGTATTAGTAGCCACACCTCCACTTCACAATTTAATAAGACAGGTCTGCCAAAAACTTTTTTTCCCCACAGATGCACATGCGTCATGTTAAAACCATACACTACATTCATTTTTTTAACCAAATCCTTATTCCGAAATTGTCTTAAGTTTTTCACTTTTGTCCAATATGTTTTTCACCATTGAAAAAAAATCTGTTGCCATAATTGAAGGTATCTGAGATTCTTTGATCGAAATGCACAAAGGATGAAGAATGACATCATACCTCACATCCACTTGTAACACTCTTGTTCCATTTTCTGGGTTTGGTTCAAACGCTCGAGTATGTGCCGTTGATAAGAAACCAACGCTGATTTTGACATGATAGTGCTTTCGTTGAAAACGGCGGCTCTTCAGCCAGCCTTGCCCAGTCATGGATGGAGAAAAGTAATGTTGGGGTTGTTATGTGAATTAGCCAGAAAAACACCATGATCAAATATAGATATCTTGCAAAATATTTACTTGGTTGTTTAATTTCACACTTCGTGGGTGGTAAGTCACTCCGGAGACCTAATGAATTATTGGTAACAATTGTTTGGAGCCCATCTGTCTCCTTTAACATACTGAACTAATGGCAAGGGATGTATCCACATCGTCAGTCAGTATTTATTTTGATGGCAACATACACAGCAAGCAGCAAACACACACACATACACAGTCACACGCATGCACGCACGCACGCACGCACGCACGCACGCACGCACACACACACACACACACACACGCACACACAAAACTCGTCTCATGTTTTTCCTTCATCGATTTCACCTAGCCTTGCATTTTCATTCTGTCCAAAATTGTATTACTGTAATCCCTTCCTGACTTTTTTTCCCCCTGAACTCTTTCCTGTTCAGACCTCATATCGGCGAGAGGGCAGTTACCACCACCAGGTACTGTCTGAGATTCAGGATTAGTTGAAAACTGTCTGGCTGAGTGAATGTTTTGATCATTTGATGAGTGTATTTCTGTGTTGGGCTGCTTTTGTTGCTGCTGGGTGAAATCATGCATGTGGCTGCTCTTTCATGGACATAGCTGATTTCCACCCGCGCCCCCCTTCACTGGCCACAACATATCACCAGCAGGTGCGAGAGATGTGACGTGGCCGTGAGGAAATGTGAAAGTGGCTGTAATAGGGCTCTAAATTTGCCTGTCTGTTCCTTAGGATTTAAAGTTATGGGGTTAGTGTCAACTGGCTGGGTTAAACGCGTCATCTGTAAAAGTCGCTTAATGGGTTTAATTCTGACTGCAGGCAGCCATTTTTTACCGATGTTCATAAACATGAACAACAGAAAGGAAGCTTAATGCCTATGTTTTAAACGTCCATAAATAACAATGCAAATTTGTGTCACCAGCCAAGACTGATTTGCACCTACTTGTCGTTATTCTCCTTCCGTTCCTTTCAAAAGAGTTATGTTATTCTCCCTTGGCTTCAGCTAATGCTCCTGACTCAAGACTTTTTCTTCGAAGGGCCATTTAATTATGCCAGATCAATTAAATAGCCCCAAAAGCAATGGCGGTTTTAGTTGGTTACAAAAAAAAAAAGACAAGCTTACAAAGTCAAAAAGTTATCTCTTTATTTATTCTTGTGAGCGTGCTGCCTGCTAACATAATTATGTCAATGTTTCTTCCCCTCATCACTCAAATGACAAAGTGAAAGGTGAGGCCAGCCTGGCAAATTAGAGTAAGGAATACTATAGTTTGGTGTGTTTTTTTTTTTTTTCTCCCCCAGGCTCCCACAACTGTTATGAAGTGTAGTATACAGGACCTGTTCTCCATTTGGGTATATACAAATTGGAAGCCATAAACTATCACGTGTACCTTTGGCAAGTGCATCAAAACATAAATATTTGTGCTAATAATAGAAATTGTTGGTTTACATAACTGGCACACACACACACACACACACACACACACACACACACACACACACACACACACACACACACACGGAGCAACATTCAAAGTTCATACAGTTCACCTCATTCAAGTTAGCGCACCAAAGACTATTAGTTTAAAGTAAAACGTTTCCCCTATTGTCATGTTAATGTGACTCATTTTGTGGTTTACTATACATTGCAGTTCAATGTAGCATTTCCTGTGAGGCTGCACTCATCGCCTATGCACAGTGGTGTTTATGTTCCTCCATTTTCAACCAGGAGCTTGCATGCACAAATAAGATAAATATTTCACACAGGGATTTGGTTCAGGAAGAGCTAGTGGCAAATTAAAATTAAACACCGACAGTTGATTAAAAATTCAGATTATTTGCACAAGTAATAATCTTTTCAGAGAACAATTTCACTGTGGGAAATCATCGGTTCCTTCACCATTAAAACAGGCAACGAAAAGCATTTTATCGTGGCATAAAAAGGGGAATCGGGGTGATGACTTTGGTGAAAAATGTATGTTTTTTGCCTCACCTGGTCACACTAGAAACTAACTGGCTCTCCCTGTGCCACCCCACAATCCTGTAAAACTGCAGATTTTTGAGTGGCCTGTTTATGTACCTAAAGCCCATATATCTCACTGAGCGGCGAAGATTTGCAAGTGTGTGCGCACGTTGCGAATGTTGTTTTTTCATCAGGGTTTCTTCAAAGTTGCAAACGGTCGGAAAGACATTTGCCAATGATTTTAATGGTCTCATACAGTTTTTCTTGTCGCAAAGAAATTTCTAACAGGTTCTAAATTGGATGGCGACAAAGAAACATTGTTTGCAGTACGTGGCCAATAATCATGCTGTCTAATCAGCATTCTGGTATGTCACGTTTGTGAGATGGATGGATTATTTCGGGCGAAGAAGTGATCACTCGCAGCTTTTAAACAATTTGCTAAGACTGTATCAGAGAAACAGGCCTTTGTGTGCATAGAATAAGTCATTGATCTTTGAGTTCAGCTTGTGAAAGCGGCAGCAAAAACAAATGTGAATTAAAAATGTTGTTGAGTGTGTAAATAAATATATATACACATCAACAAAAATGTTGGAAGAAATAAAACAGAAATAACTGACTTAAAAAAAACAGAAATAAACAACAACATTAAAACTTGTTCCAACAACTTTGTTCATATACATGTGCATTTCACTGATTTTGACTATTGTGAAAAACTTTGGTGTATAATATCGTCAAAAGATTCAGAGAAGTTGGCAAAATCTCTGCACGCGAAATGCAGAGCCAAAAACCAATGTTGAATGCCAACGTTGAATACCTGTGACCTTTGATGCTTCAAAGTACACGCCATGAAAAAAACAGCTTCATTACATTGTAAAGGGTATTGCCACGTTGGCTCAGGAACACTTCAAAAAAGCGTTCTCACTTAACACAGTTCATTGCTACAACTACAAATTGAAATTAAAACTCCACCATGCAAAACAAAAGGCATACATCAATAATATCCAGAAATACCACCAGCTTCTCTGGGCCGGAGCTCATCTGAGATAGATTGACACAAAGTGCAAAGTGTGCTGTGGTCTGAGGAGTCTACATTTGAAATTGTTTTTTTTTTGAAATCGTGGACCTTACGTCCTCTGGGCCAAAAACGAAAAAGGACCATCCA